CAACGGTACCTACCCGCGACGCCGTCACACCACGGGAAAGCGAGTCAACTTGAATACCCTAAAACGAATAGAGTCGACTCTAGGAGTCGAAATACCCGAATCTGCTCGTCTCGTCGCGAAACGGCTGAGCGAGAACAGCGCGTGTTCCTTTCCACGGTACGGCCGCTTAAAGTAGGCGTAAGTAGGCAAACCGGGTGTCGCGGATCGCGCTCGTTTCTCATTCGTCCCCGTTCCTTTTCCGTTTTTTCTTTCTCTGCGCAATCGAGAAAGAATGCGGGAACGCTTTCAGAGACGCGTTTCGCCCGATCGAACGCTCGGTGAAGCTCGGAAAAATATTGGCAACCGGTGGTTGCAGCGTGAGAACCGGGGCTCTCCACCGTGAACTAGGAGGCACGTCGCGTCGCGCGAAAACAGATTCGGAGTGCACGCTCGTGCATAGTGCGTATTCCTGCATACGGTATGGACACGGTCGTCAGCTGCGATACTTACGGGCTCGCCCCGTTGTTTCGTATGCGCGATCCAGATCTCGTTTCCTCCGAGTTGGAGAAAACCTAGAGGCGCCGCGTCGGTGCCTACCGAACCCGCGGACGCGTACGAATAATAATTGGCCAATAAGATGCGGAGCGTGTGACTGGCGACACTCTCCTATCGCTGGCGCAACATCTCCGTTTCGAGAGAATCGGTGCTGGCGGTGAAGCGACGGCCGGTGCGCGAACCGCGAACCGCGAACCGCTCACCTTTCAGCCTCTCGCTGCTCGCAAACTATTCCAGGAATTTCCTGTCCTCTCCGTTCAACTGGCTCGTCACCGGGGTCAAGTTGGTTCGTTTCTTTTCGGTGTTCGATACGAGGGAAGAGAGACTTTTCGATTCGATACGAGGGCCCGGTCGCTACCGGCCAGCTGGCAATTATCCGAAGGTGGAAAAGTTGACAGAATGGTTGAAAAATCAACGTCCACGTGGCAGGCCAAGACGATCCAGCGAGTAGAAGAAATTCTTGCGGCGCAGGTACACGTTCGTCCTCCTTTCTCTGCTCTTTCTACGGTCCTTCGACGCAGCGTCTCTCTTCACCGGGCCTTCTCCCGTTTAGAAGTTTGCTTTTCGGTCTGCTGCTGACGGTCGCGCGGCCGTACCGCGTCGATAAATCTGTTTAGCTGATGGAGCGTGTCGAGGATAGGGGGAACGGTGGCGATCGTCAAGGCGAGAAGGAGGAATCGGAAGCGAGCTGGACCGTTGGCGTCGTGGAGATTTCGGAGCGCAGATAAGCTCGCGTGCCTGTCAATGGAGCCAGCCTGAGGAGGAACGGGAGGGAGAGGCGCGTGCCGAAACTGGACCGGAGCGCAATTTCCGAGGAATCTTATCTCCCGTTTGCATCTTCGGTATCGGGTTACCGAAAGGGGTGTTCACACCGAAGCGCCGCTTCTTCCGCTCCCCCCTCTCCCTCGCTCGCTCTTCGTGTCGTCTTCTTCGGCCAGGGAGTAGTAGTAGCGGCTATTCCCTGGCGGTGTCAGGGAAAGGAGAGGAATGGCAGAGGAGATTACCTTGATCGGGGGGGGGAATCGGGGGAGGACCCCGTTTTCGCGAGATCGTAGATGACGCGACGCCGGTAGTTGGTTCCTGTTTACGAGCGCTGGTAATTAGCATAACGCGCCTCGTCTCCGTAGGTCCGAAAAAAGGCAGGCGGGGCGGGAGGAGGAGGCATTCCGAGGGTCGAAATCGCGGAAACTGTGCGCGAACGGAGCGTAACGCGATCGATGGCGAAGCTCGAGGCACGGTATCGAGGTATCGTTAGGTGTAGGAGCGGCGGATGAACGGTAGGACGGGGAGAAGGGAGGAGGATGCGCGAGAGTGTGCTAGAACGAAGCTACAAGGAAACCCTTCTACGCGGTCGGCGCCGTGGCGCCTGGGCATCGAACGACCACGACCGGGCCATCGGGCTGTCGCCCGTGTGTCCACCGCCGCCGTCGCCGCCGCTGCGGACTTTGACTTTTGCTCCACTCCTGTACCGTGAGAAACGAAAAGGGAAGAGCGATTAATTAGAGAATCGGTACGCCGACGCGACGCTAGTCGAACCAAGTGCGTGATTCGTTACCAGGGAGATTAGTAGAGACGCGCGGTCCAGCCGAGGAAGAAAAAGAAAGGAAAGCGACGGTGGACAAAGAACGCTATTTCCATTAGCAGCGGACACGGTCTGCTCTGGTGTGTCGCGACGAATCAATAAACCGAGTGGCCTCCGAAACGAAGAACCGCTCGCCTCGCCTCTCTGTTCGTTTTAACGACGAGCGATGCTCGTGTCGATCGCTTCTTCCTCGATCTCGCGGCTGGTTTCACCGTGGAAACGCGAGCGAGCATGCCTCGGCCTGGCGCCAGATGCCTCTTCGTTCCGGCGCCGCTCGACCGCCGAAACACGATTAGTCCTCTAACCGGTTCCCATTAAAAGCCCTTTCGAACCTTCGAGTCTCGTTCGCGTCGGATCGGGAATGGGACGGGGAAATCCGTCGTGACCGCCGGAAATTGTCTCGCGATCCCTTTCGACGGACAACCTTTATCGACACCTATGCGGCTGGTAATTCTGTGGCGGCGTGAACCGTAACGGCGCGGCGATATCGGCGCATAGGTCGAGGAGACGAGAGCACCGGTGTTTATCGGTGTTGGTTGCGGTCTCGATAACGCGGCGAACGTTCTTCGCGGTCGATAAGTCGCGGTCGTAAATCGCGTTCGAGCGGCGAGGTATTATTAACGCAGGGAGAGGAGCGAGGATGATGGGAACGTGCGAGGACGGGGTGTGCGGCAACCACTCGGGTGCGGACGGGAAATGGAAGAGGGTAGTAAAAGGGGAGAAACCGGGGAGCGGAGACGCGAACGCGCGGAGCCGCGAAACCGGCGAGGCTTTGGTCCCGCCTACACGGATCTTATTCGTGGCCGCGATGGCCGCTATCCCGTATCTCCGATTCTACGCTCCGAGCGGAGTCGCCCCTCGAAGGTGGAGACGCGTCTGCGCTCTCTGTCTCGCTCCTTCGCCATCTCGCCCCTTCGTCCCTCTCTCTCGCCGTGGCCAAGGCTCGACGGCTCCTAGGTTCTCGCCTCTCCCGCCCCTCGTTCCGCCCTCTCTCTCTCTCGCGATCTGCGGCCGCGGCATCCGTTCGGTATCACGGTCGGAATCACGGTCGGATTCGCGCACGCGTCTGCTCGCGACATCCGCCGAGTGTGTAAGCGGTCGGAGCGGTCCTTTGTGTGTAATCACTCTGTTCTGTCGAACAGATGCCGCGGTGTTAGCTCTCGGGGAGAATGTTCCACGGGGGCGGAAGCGGTGGGTACGGCGCCAGTTCCGACTACCAGCAGCAGTCCCAGCAGCAGCAGCAGCAGCACAGCCAACAGCTCCAGGCGCCCGTCTACGTTCCGTCTTCGAGGCCTACCATCCCGTCCGCGGCGTCTGCG